ACTGCCTCTTCAGCCACTTTGTTATTTTTCGCCTGTAAGTCTTCGAGTTTGTGTGACACTGGAAATAAATCATCACCCGTGAAATCCAAGTCTTCTATTGTCTTCCACAGTATGACACATAATCCAGTCCACCACAATTAAGAATATCATCGTGGGTGATAATAGGCAGCCAGTCTTGTCTTACCCCTGTATGCACTTCGAACGCCTCGCTGAGTTTCCCTTTGTGGATCACCTGACACGTGCCACTGTCATATAGCTGTTGATTGAGGTTAATAAAGACTTGAGGTACGCACTGTGGTAGACTTTAATTCCATTATGGGTAAAATTTATTTTGATAAAGTTACACGCAGCAATATTTACGGATGACTTTTTGAGCAGAATTTATTCGTCATAATCATTTCAATCATATCATATGATTATATGAGCTGCAGTAATAAATTGTGCTCGAAACGTCGTCATCAATTAATATTACTGTATAACAACACTGTGTGTGTGTGACTTTATCAGAATAAAATTTTTATCCATAATAGAATTAGACTATGAAAGTATCTTATAAAGATTAACACTGTGTTATACTATCAGCCAGTAACAAAACATATGTCACTATTAACTTATCAGGAAAGAGAATATTTGAATTGCCTGACTTAGTTAGTCGTACTTTAATCTGAAAATACTAAGCGATGAGTATCATTCAAATTATGATTGACATTAAGACGAAAAAACGCTTAGATACAGGAATGCTGTTCACATTAGAAAAAGCGAGGGGAAATTATAAGAAGAAGAGGAGGAAAATAACGAATGAATATCGATTACACATATTAAATTATTGTACTAGTATAAGGGAAGGGTTTAGATTGAAAAAACTTCTGCCGTAGTTTATACACCTTGTTCAGGGTTTGCTTTTTGTGTATAGCCAGAAGCCATCTTCTGTAGACCGAAAATATAGCTGCAGTTAGACAATGAGTGTTGTCACTAGCATATTATGAGGGGTTATACTTACAAATGCAGTTCCTTGGGGACAACATCAACTAGATAATAACACAGCGCCTTAGAAATGCGGTAAAAGGAGCATTCTCTACTGCTGTTGAATTACGCTGTGTCTTCAAAACCACCCAACCCTATTTTGCTTTCGGGAGTAAAAGACAAACTACCTAATTTCGCCTCTTGCATGTGTATCTACCAATTTAGCTGCTCCTGTGGAGTGAGCCAGTTAGTTGCATAGGCCGTACAATCAGGCGAGTTTCTCGTCGAATTTCCCTAACATCACCCTGTGTGGTTAAGCAAAAGATAAATAAAATATATTCGCAGCGCTATTCTATCTCATCTCGTGGATACAGAACACAAGATTGACGTTAACCATGCTTTCAGGGTCATCTACCGCATGCCAACGAATCTCAATTTCGCCTTAAGAGTTCGACTTCTAAATATTGCTGAGACTGGCTGTTGGGATCCAGATTGAGAAGCCTAATTTGTGCATCCAAAAGAAGTTAGTTCAGACATTATTCTTATCTTGGCCATCTAGGTTTGAATGATCCTGAATTTTTGTGGAATTTTTCTAATTTTAGTTGATATTCTATTTGCTACTATATCTTTATTATTATTATAATTTAAGCATCTTTAATGAACTGTAATTCCATTGTGATCTTACTTAACAAGTCATATATATATATATATATATATATATATATATATAATTGTATAGCCAGAAGAGGAATTCATCGAAAAGGATATTCTTTGCTTAATTATTTTGTGTTATATGGCTGTTGATTGAGGTTGCTAAAGGTGTACTAAGTCTAGTCCTTTCTTTGGTGCAGACTGAATTCTATCAGTAGTCAATTTGCCATGTGGCCACTATACCACACTAGGTGGCTTTACATCACGGTGCACTGTAAATTGTTGATATTGGATATGATGGAGAAGATTTGTAGCTCAGGTGGATAATTTTGATGTAGTTTTGTGTTCTCTGAGCTGGCTGGATGGTTTACTTGCGAAGCTTTCATCGCACCAACACTACGCAACATCTTCCTTCAGCGCATACTTCAATTCGTTGAAGTGAGCTTTTAGATTTCTCCACGAGTTTATTAGTCATCTCTCCTGGTGGGTAACCTTCAACGTGACTCTTTGGTTGTTTTTGTGTGTTTGGAACTGATTGTCTGCTTGACGTGAAGTTTGACCCATTGTGTATGAGATTTCCTTATCGGTTGGTAAATTTTGTCTATCCCGATGTGTCCATTGATTGACGATTCACTGGAATATCAGACAGCCTTCTAAAAATTCTGTGGCACTCTTGGTGTTTCCTCTGTTGTCTAATATTTGTACGTTGGTTGTCCCAGTCGAATTGATGTCCGTGTTTGTCTGTCTGTATGCAGTGAGGCGATAGGAATGAGGGAGTGGATGTCATGTCTTTTGACGGCTTGCACTTATGATCATGGATACGAAGACGAAGAGGAGGGGAGTCCAATTTGGCCAATGTAGTGTTTTTCTCAGTTGTTACAGTTTATTTTGTAGATGATGTTGGTTGGTTTTATCTTCTTTCTCTCTGCGAATGTTTGCCATGCGATTTGCTTCTGTCAAATGTATAATGATGAGGGCACAGGACTGGACTACATCGACTCACTCATAGCTTAGGAATAGGAAGTGCAGTGGTGTAGCGTGTTGACCACTTCACTAATTTGGGGAGTTGCAGCAGACAGCCTCGACAGGTTGATTGCCGACTAAATCTCAGCATAGAGACAGAAGGCTCGTGTAGCATATGCCACCTCATGCCATGTGTCGCTTAGTAGACGTGATATCCGGCTGGCTGACTGAGTTGTCTACCAGAGGACATGTGTACTGCTCAGCAGTTGGCTCTGTCCCCCCACTTAGGGCTGTGAGATATGGCGACTAAAAGTGGAAGACATGAAAAGCCTGGCTAGCTGTCTTTGATCATAGGTGTCTGCGTTCCATCTCCCGTGTTAAGTGGTATAATAGGGTGAGCAATATTGAGGTTAGGCATCAGTCGAGTGGCAGCTAGGTAAGGAGGGGAAATCAATCGACAAGGCTGTGAAGTTACATCGATTGAGAGAGATGGTTAGGACATATGTTACGTATGCCTAGCCTAGCCATCGCCTTCCTCGACAACGGGTAGTGTTAGCTGATATAGGGTTAGGTTGAAAAAGAGCCAGTGGCGTCAAATGAAAACATGGTTTCATCAGTCAATGAAATCCACAACAGTTACTTTAAGCCACGTAGGAAGGTGTAGACTTCCTGGTTGGGGTCCTCGAGACGGTAAACACCAATGACAGTGGCTGGAGACAATTGGTGATATGGCTAGCTCAAAATCGTTCTCAATGGCTGGCGCAGATGCATCCACTCCTTGTGACTTATAATATCCAATAAAACTATATTTGTTCTTCGATATTACTATTCTTTTTGCCTCATATCTCTGTTTAATATCTCTATCTTGCATTTCTTTGTACTCTCTTGTCTTGCTTTGTGTGCTACATGGAGAGAGAGAGAGTGGAGACTCGAACTGCTGCACATCTGTGCTGCGCAAAATTCTATGTTGAAACCAGTCAATTAGTGGATGTCTGCTTTATCTACAATTTTTAATGCCTCACTTTTTTGTTCAAAGACTTTGCATTCATATAGAGTAATTCATTTTCACATTAGTAACACAAGATTTTAGTTATTATCATCGTTTGTAAAAGAAATATTGACGGGAATATTGCAGAAGAACTCTTCAAATCACACCAATCTATCATCATACGTCTAATGCTGGTAAAACAATAAAAATAAACCAACTCTTAATTCTTAATTCTCAGCTGTATTCTCTCTAACCTTTGTTTGTATACATTACGTACAATAATGTATGTTTAGACAAAGCAATAAGAAGACGTAATTTGTCTGAATCGTGTAATGTATTTGCACAACACTTATTTCGAACAATCTGATCACACACACGGACTTATCATAGGAATATGTACATATGAAATTAATAAAGAGTTAAGAGGTGAGAAATAGAAATAGACTAAGGTCAAGTTAAAAGGGATATATTTAAGGTCAAAATAACAACGATTATCAATCATTTAACCAAATAACAAAGGTAATAGTACATTTGCTATGGTATCAAAACAAAATTTTACCAAGGAAGGTTTAGTTAGTGTGATGACGAATTGTTGCTCTGAACGCATACAGGTGGTTTAAACTTTCTAATTACCAGCTAGGGCTTCCACAAACTTTAGGAAACGCCCTCCCCCAAACACGTTTTATAGATAGGTTCGAAAGATGTGTTAACGTCAATTTTATGTCCTGTCTGTATAATATGTTTCTCAATAGAAGAGCTAGGTCTCCTGTTCTCACTATTAATGGGTTCTGAAGATTCCATTTGTTTCTGGAGCTATTTATGAATATGCTGTGAAGCCAGCCTTTACTTGCAGAGATCGATGAGTCCTCCCTTCTACGTATGTGTCCACACGTACGTTCAAATTGGTAAATACAGTGGGATGTGACATCATTTTTCGCATGTTCTAATGGCTTATATAGATATATTGGCTTCACATTCTAAATTATTATGATATTAGCTGCATAAAAAGCCTTTTTAACAGCAGCGTTCAATCTTCGCCTATTTATCAAGCTGCTTGCTGTGATGCCCCATATAGGGTAGCTTGATGTACACGTCTTTCTTAGGGGCGAGTTGTAGAGTGGGTCTTGGTGTCGCCCTGACCACTTTATATCTCCTGATGAACTTGTCTGGATAATTGTTATCAAACAGAGTTTGTGTCAACTTTCTTTCTTCTTCATCAAGTGTCTGTCTTCAGTGCCTATTCATTGGATTCTACTGAAGAGGCACCTCACTTACTAGGACTCTTTTGTACAGAACAGGGCAGAAACTGTGGTAATTAAGATACTGTCTTGTCCAGGTAAGTTTTCTATAAATAGATCTTTTTATTGACCAATGTGTCTAGGAAAGATAAACAATTATCTTCCTCTTCTAATGTGTGTGTTAATATTATTTCCAGCCGAAACAGACAATTCATTCATCTAACCGTTCACGCAGAACTATTCGTTCAACTCAACTATGCCCTGAAGACGATGATGATGATGATGAGGATGGCGCTTTACAAACAGCTGAAACTGAGTCACTTAGAAAATCAAAGAGAAATCCTACTGTATCACGTAGACGTCCAATTCGTAAGGTGGTAACAACAACACTTCCGACAACAACACTACCTATACAATCAGACAAGACTTCCTCCTCCGCTTCGTCTTCTGCTTCTGCTTCTCCTCAGTCGTCTAATCCAATCGAAGTGAACACTAATGCAGTAGTGCTGCAGAGTGAGAAAAACAACAATAATTGTCATCATGATGAAGGTAGGCATATATATGTATACAATTTTTTCTTCTTTATTTTAAATGGACCATTTCAGCCCATTTATATTGATTATTAATCTTCACATTAATATATGTGTAAAACTTTTGGGCACTGTGGTAGTAAGTAATTCCATATTAGTTTGTTTATTAGATATATCACACAGTCAGTGAAACAGTATTATTTACTGGATGACAAGGTTTCGAACAAAATTTATTACTGTTCATAATCATTCGATCAATCATAATCACACGACTTCGAAAATTGAGTTTTATAGTTTTCTTTGTTCTCCTATTTGTCGTCGTAGGGTAGTAGAATTTACCAGATATCTGAATCATTCCTAATACACGTATTTACAGTTGATTCGATAAATAAAGCTTCAATTATCAGTCTCTCCCTACATTCTATTACATTAGATTTTAAAACTTTCGTCCTATTGTATGGTTGTGTGTAATTGCATGCAGTGATTGGTAAAGCTGAATTATTCTGTAGATTTCTTATCTTATTCGGGTCAACTAATCTAGATTTTGCTGCTAGGTTTTTATGCTCGGCTAGTCTGACTGCACCTGTTCTACTAAGATAAGAAATCTAGAGAATAGTTCAGCTATAGCACTCACTACATGCAATTACACTGAACCATACAATAGGATGATGGGATAAGATAACAGCTTTAAAATCTAATGTCACAGGGTGGAGGGAGAGATTGATAACAGACGCTTTGTTTATCGAATCAACTGAGAGAGAGAAATTACGTGTGATAGGAATGATTCAACACCTGTTCACTCGGATATCTGGAAAATTCTACTACCCCCACGACGACAAATAGGAGAGAAAAAAGAAAACTATAAAACTCAAGGTTCGAAGTCATGTGATTATAATTGATGAAATGATTATGAACAGTAATAAATTTTGTTCGAAACTTTGTCATCCAGTAAATAATAATACTGTTTCACTGACTGTGTGATATATCCATCTAATAAACAAACTGATATGTGGTATTAATCTTGACCAAATTTCCCGTGATCAGTCCAATAGGGTTGGTGTTACAACTGAAACTGACCCGCTGGGAAGTTGCATTAGCCCTAATGGAGTCATTGTTGGCGGAATCTTAGCACGATTGCGAAACCTCGTGTGCTGTCTGCCAATATACTTTACCTCTGGCGTAGACGTAGTCTCCGGCTATCGATGAAAGGACGTTTGTACTGCTGAGCAGTTCTCTCACTCCTCCTTTATTGCTGTGCTGTGGGACGTAACCGTTGAAAGTGGAAAATATAAAAAGGTGGGAACAGTAAAGAAGAGACACCACAGTCAAATGACCTTGAGCCAACCAATCAGGTCGTTCAGCCTTACAAATGGGTGCTTTTCATGATATTCTTCGTTGCAAGTTTCATTCCAACCTTAATCATAACCCTACCTAATCTTGAATTAAGGGGAAACTTGCAACGAAGATTATGAAAAGCATCGATTTGTAATGCTGAGTGATGTGATTGGTTGGTTCAAGGCCATTTGACTGTGGTGTCTACTGCTTTACTGTGGTCGAAAAGGATAGCTGTCTTTGTTCACAGATGTTGGCGTTCTATCTACTGTGTTAAGTGAGTGATGTTGAGGCTAAGTGTAGGTGTAGAGGTAAGGAGGAGAGCAAGTTAATGGATTATGAAACTGCATGGATTCAGATGTTTAGGACAAGTGTCATGCATCCTAGGCCATCAGGTTTCTCGCGAAGCAATGTTAGCTGACATGAAATTATATTGGAAAAGAGATAGAGATGTCCAAACCCAAACCTGGCCTCCATCCATGAAGTCGTTGATTGTTGGTTTGAGCCAGCCATATGGTGCGGTGTAGACTACCAGGTTTGGAGCCTCGAGATGCTAAGAACCAGTGGTTGAAGGCTGTTGGTGATGATATAGCTGAATATTATTGCCAGTAGCACTGATGCATTCATCCAATTGTAATCTACCAGATCTATTGAATCCTCATGTTCTAGTGCTCATTCGTGACTGGCTACAGGATAAAGCCGCACGAGTTTGTAGTGAGAGAGGCCGTGACTAACAGGCTTCACGAAGTTCTGTGCGAGGACAAATAGTCGCCGATGACATTGGCTAGCGCTTGCGTGCTATATGTTGAAAATTGGCAGAAGTTAGTATTCATGTGTTGAGAATTAGAGTTTTCGTCACAATGACTGGATGCTCAACGAACGAATCTTGTAACATGAAGGTCTTGTAGATATAATAGAGAAGATTTGTAGCTCAGGTGGATGATTTTGGTGTGGTTGTGTTCTCTAAGCTAGATGGTTTGGTTGCGAAGCTTTCATTGCTCTACTGAGCAACATCTTCAGCGCATACTTCGATGTGAAGTGAGCTTTTAGAATTCTCTATGAGTTTATTAGTCATCTCTTCTAGTAACCTTGAACGTGATTGGTTGTTTTCGTGTGACATTTCACCCCCTAGTTTGCTTGTCTCGGTGCTGGCTGCTTCTTTGGTCTGAATGTCGTTAGTCATTCCTTCTGCTAACCTTGAACGTGATTGGTTGTTTTTGTGTGACTTCTCACTTTCTAGTTCACTTGTTTTGGTGTTGACTGTTTCCTTGACCTGAAGTTTGACTTTGTTTTTGTGTGAATTTCTTTGTATGGATTGGTATATTTTGTCAATCTCTATGTGTCTATTGATTGCTGATTCATTTGAATACCAGGCCTCTAGGAATTCTCTGGCATTTTTGCAGTTTCCTTTGTCTAAGATTTGAACATTGTCCCAGTCGAATTCAAATGAATCAGCAATCAATAGACACATAGAGATTGACAAAATATACCAATCCATACAAAGAAATTCACACAAAAACAAAGTCAAACTTCAGGTCAAGGAAACAGTCAACACCAAAACAAGTGAACTAGAAAGTGAGAAGTCACACAAAAACAACCAATCACGTTCAAGGTTAGCAGAAGGAATGACTAACGACATTCAGACCAAAGAAGCAGCCAGCACCGAGACAAGCAAACTAGGGGGTGAAATGTCACACGAAAACAACCAATCACGTTCAAGGTTACTAGAAGAGATGACTAATAAACTCATAGAGAATTCTAAAAGCTCACTTCACATCGAAGTATGCGCTGAAGATGTTGCTCAGTAGAGCAATGAAAGCTTCGCAACCAAACCATCTAGCTTAGAGAACACAACCACACCAAAATGAAGGTCTTGTGTTCGCTACTTAGCGGTGTGTGTGTGGGGGGTAATGGGTGCGTAATACTGGGAAGAGGGTACCAGACTTGCATAAAACAGCCGTTGAGTACCCCCTGGTTTCCAATTATTAATATTACCAATCTCTTGGCTTCCAAGTGGGATATGAGGCTTCAACGAACTATCTCCAATTTGTTCTATTTTTTGCGGTGCTCTTTAGTTGGGGCCACAATTCCACATAGTCTATCATCTCCTCCTCACCACACGATCTCCTCCATGTCGCCCTCACACTGATGCCCCACTCGTCATTTCCCATTTAGATTCCACTCGACCATTTCACTTATTTAGGGAGTTGCATCAGCCCCAACGGGTTGATTACCGACGAAATCCCAGCACAGATACAGAAGGCTCGTGTATTCTCCCGCACTCACGCCATCTCTGGCGTAAACGTGATATCTGACTGACTGGCTGTCAGCCAAAGAGCGTGTGTACTGGTCAGTAGTCCTTTCTGTCATCCTTTATGGCTGTGAGACATGGCCACTGAAAGTGGAAGACATGAAAAGACTGGCTAGCTGTCTTTGATTATAGGTGCCTGTGTTGTATCTCCCGTGTTAAGTGATATAATAAGGTGAGCAATATTGAGGTTCGGCGTCGAATGCTAGGTAAGGAGGAAAAATCAATGGACGAGATTGTGAAGTTACACCGATTGAGCTGGTTAGTACAGGTGTTACTGCGCATGCCTAGCCCAGCTGTCACCTTCCTCGACAACAGGCAATGTTATCTGATATAGGATAGGGTGGAAAAGATCTAGTGGTGATCAAACCGAAACATGACTTCATCAGTCAATGAAATAAGTCCATAACAGTTAGTTAAAGCCAGTGACCCAGCCAAGTAAGTAGGTGTAGACTACCAGTATGGGTGTTGTCCTGTGGATGGTAAAAACCAACGGAGGCTGGAGAGAATAGGTGGTATGGCTGAAGATCGTTCTCCATGACAGCGCAGATGCATTCACTCTTTGTGATCGATAACACTCTATTGTTCTTCCTTATTGCCACTGTTTTTCCCTCACACTTTTGTTTATTATCTCGCTTTTGATGAATCTCTCTTTTCTCTCTTCTGTTTTTGTTTGTGTGGTGAATGGAGGGAGAGTGTCAGGTGGAACTGGTGCACCTTTGTGCAAAGTTCAATGTCGAAACCAATCAGTCACTTAGTCAGGGATATGTTGGTGGCCCTCGAAGAGAAATAACTACCAATATCACGTTCAAATAAGCTAACCTAAATTTATGAATTATCACTATTAAAAAATTTTTTTTAATTGAATGATGTCTATAACTGTCATAATTTAACAGCGCTTTCTATCCGTGTACCCTTATTTTTCAGTGACCGTTAGTCACAAGGAGGAAGCATCGATTATTAGTGAACCATCACCACTGTCTACTCATCTAGTAGTAGTTCCAAATGATTCAAGCACCAACAATCCAGTTAGTCAACAATCACAAAAGACAAGCAGTAGTCCTGCCAGAAAATCGCATAAAGGAAAGAAGGCAGAACCCACAGAACAATCATCACCGCCTAAGGTTAAATTACCAACACCGCCGTCGTTATCGTCATCATCGGCTGCAGCAGCAGGGAAGTCATCGTGTAGTACTGAACTAGACAATCTAAATATCTCTGCATCAACGTCTATTGGCACTACCTCGGAAGTTGTGGATGTTGTCAATAACGGTAATGATGGTGAATGGTTATGCGCAAATACAAAAACACTTAGACGTCGACAACGTAATAAAGACAATAAGCAACAATCAGAGAGTAAAAGTGATGGTAATAATGTTGGCATTAGTGGTGGTGGTGTCGGTGATGGTGAGAGTCAACTGCTGCAATCGCAATCCAAACTGTTAACAGATCAAAACAAAATTGACTCTGATGCTGAATCGAAAAGCAATCAACATCATCAACCATCTACTGAAACTACTAATATGCCTTCTAATATCAATGATCTTGATTCTAGTCAAAAATCAATTGGAGACGGTGTTACTTCCCATGTAAGCTATTATTGATTGATTGATATGTTATTTGTGAATAATGGAATTTACTAATAATCTAGACTAAAAGTTTCATACCCTTTTATTTATTGCAGAATAAAGTGGTACCAACAGAAGACTTAGTAGTACGTCACTAGCCAGCCAGAGCCTGTCCTGCAGCTAAGTTCGTTCCCGTCTATTGAAACAACTTGCTCATCTTTGCTGCAATCAAAAATCGACAGATATCCTTCTCATGTTAACTCAGCAGCTACTGGGACCTAATGCAGCTGCTGAGTAGTGTACAAGCTCGCCTCATAACCCGAAGGTTCTGGGTTCTAGCCCTGGCAGTGGGGTGTGTGTGCTGCTGAAGAGTCCAAAACCAGGCTAACGAAACAGCTGGCTATCCAGTACTCGAGCACTGGTTTTCCCAATGGTTCTCTCTAACCTATGTCAGCTCATGATGAACTCATGTAACTAACCGACGCTTAATAACTTTAATACTTTCAAAATTTACTTACATGTGGCATCATATGATTGTGTTTGTAAGGGGGTAAGTCGTAAGAGAGCCGAAACCAACTAACTTTTTTTTATGGCGGGCTATTTTACCATCGACTAAATGCCAAGCGATCCTCACTTTCACATCTGCTGTTGGCTGTCACACCATTAAGCACAGTTATATTTTCTATATTGTCATGAAATCCAGCTTGGATTAGTGGAACATTGATTTAGACAGGGGTTAGTTATTCGCCCCGCTCTGCTTCCCTCCCTCCCCATGTAATTCAACTATTATAAGTATTCTATAGTTTGGTTTGTAAGGATTAGTTTTGTTTTTATGAGTTGATCACGGATTTGTATCAGTTAGAGAACTGTTGAAAACCAGCACTGGAGTACTGCCAGACAGCTGTTTCATCATCCTTGTTTGGGAATCATCGGTAGTACACACCCACTGGGTGTATCCAGTTGAGAGTAGCGATAGATTTCCCACCTATGAAATTGGGTGGTGGTCACTCTAAAGATCATGAATTGGTAGAAGTTAGAATTCATGGACCGGCCATTGAATTGGGTCCCACTGGCTGAGTGGTCTACGAGCTCGCCTTGTAACCAGAAGGTCCTGGGTTCGAACCTCAGTGGGTGCGTACTGCCGATGATTCCCAAGCTAGGATGAAACAGCTGTCCAGTACTCCAGTGCTGGTTTTCAACGGTTCTCTAACTGATATCAATCCGTGATCAACTCGTAAAAATCAACTATAAATATCTAGGCGGCCATTCGAAACTCACTGGTGTCTATTCTACTTAAAATACTCAACTTTTCAAGTTATTAAAGTTAATGTGTTTTTTTTGTTGTTGACCATCGAGGGTTATGAAATATAAACTTGTGGTAATCATGTGGGCATTCTAGGTGTACGTGAAATGTGTTCATAATTAAATTATCACATGAATTTTTTAGGAGAAAATAAACAAAAATGTTTTAGTATTTTTCAATGTGTGTGTGTGTATTTGTTAGTTATCTAAACTGATAAATATTGATCAAGTTTATCCACAGGAGATGAATTTGCCAAAAGTTCTATTTCCGGGATGCCTTGACGAACAACCTCGTGACCTGAAGATCCTAGGTTCTCAATCCCTGGCGCTAGGGGGTTTGGATGTACACTGCTTCTGCTGCTGCTGCTGGGTTTGAAACTAAAATGCAATGGGGTACAGTAGGTTAGATGTGAGAACAAATATTCACCAGCGATGACATTGGTTAGTGTGTCAGTCAATCGCACGCTATATTGTGCGTGAATTGTCAGATGTTGGGGTTCATGGACTGTTCATTGAGTTGTTAGGTCCCGGTGGTTCATGTGCATATGAACTCGCCTTGTAAACCCGTAGGTCCTGGATTCGCACTGTGGCATTGGGATGAGTGAGTGCGTACTTATGAAAAATCTGGAACTAGGCTGATGAGAGAGCTGTCCAGTACTCCCTGCATGTACTCCAATGGTTCTCTAACTCATGTCAGCTCACGATGAAATCCTGTGGCCAATCAATTCCATCCCTACAAACCAATACTTGAATAATAATAATAATAATAATAATAATAATAATAATAATAATGCATGTCAAATGTTTTGAACGTCAATAATAATGATGATTATAATACACTTCTCTTGAAACTGTCTCGATGAACGCCGCCGTCGCAGCTCCTTATGTGTACTCATAGTTCTCGTCACTTTTGTGTAAAAAGATAACATGCAAAGTGTTGGCGTTTGAATTCGTAATCGCCGTTAAGACGTAAATGTTCACCAACATCAAGATTTGCTATATTATTGAATTTTCCTCCAAGAACAGACGTATATGTCACGTGACCAGTAGGGTACAGCAGGTCAGGCGTGAGGACAAATACTCGCCAGTGATGACATTGCTTAGTGGTCGCACTATGTTGTGAATTGGCAAAATCAGTGCGTACTGATGAAGAGTCCCAAAATAGGACGAAACAGCTGTCCGGTACTTCTAGCTGGTTTTCCAATGGTTCTCCAACCGATGTCAGCTCATGATGAAATCTTGTAATAAACCTAAAGTTGAAAAGTAAGATATGGAGTTCTGCATGAAAGATGCTTATCACATTTTAAGTGATTAAAAGAATTTAAAAGTCTGATTGATTACTGAACAAAGAGTATTCGTTTGGATGACCGGCTTTTTATCAGGTTCTACAGTTATACCCATCCATAATAATGAATGAATCAATGTTATGTACAACAACACTAATGTTGTTTAAATAACATCGAATCAATAATAATAATAATAATATCAATGGATTACAGTTCGATTGCACCAACATAACACTACACCCTGATTATCAGACAAATTAGGAGAAGCAATAATACAGTTTATGAGTTTACAGCCTCAACAGAAGGCCAATCCACTAGTATTGGTTGGGCATGTTTCTTCGGCACGCAGAGCACCGGTTGTTTTTTGGGCGGATAGCAATAGTCTCTGCTGTTTGGAGTCTTTGGTGCTTGGATGCTTATAGCAGTTTATTTATTCGGTACCTAATAGATGATGATAGAGAAGGATTTTTTAATGCTAGCTAGCATTATGGCCGGTCGCTTTGGACCAGGTGGTCTAATGTCGAGCTGTTGATGATGTTTTTTTTCATTACACCTTTATATATAGCCACACTAGTAGGTGTTGCCGAGAGAGCAGAGAAAGTCAGGTTTCTAGAACAGCGTCCAGTTTAACCCCCTCTGCAACAAGCGCAGTTGAATTTTTTTTATTCCTTCATGTTCCCAGTGGTGGAACATAAGGTTTCAAGCTAGAGGCTTGAAGTTTCTGTAGCAGTGGTGATTATTTTTACAGGATGGGGTTGCTAGCCAGCCTCATGCCCAACCTTTCGTCTTTATCAGCTTTTATTTCTGGCTTAGCGAGGTAAAGGAGTGCGTTGGTCGGGGATCGAATCCCGGATCGAGCGTCCTAACCGCTGTGCCATCGACGCACAAGCGCAGTTGAATTGTTAGATACAATTAGAGGTGGCTAGCTGGTTTTAGTATTTCACCTTTCCATTGAGGAATCACAGCTTACCGGCATTAAAAGTTCTTTGAACTGATTTTCTTAACTTCTTAGTAATTATTTTACTTCGTACGTCAACCTTGAATTGTAGTCGTATTTACAGACAGACAGAGAGAGAGAATAATCACTTTCTACTTTCTTGGTCATATGTTTTATGATCAACTTTTCTCGATAGCTATTTTCAATTAAAGTGTCATATACAGTCGATCTTAAGTACACAGTCAATTACCTCTTCTGAGCATATTAGCACACTTACAAATGCTATTGAAACTGTAATCTATTCATTTTATTGATTGATTCAATGTTATTTAGACAACATTAATGTTTTAATTGAGTTTTAGATTTTCCCGTCGATTGATTGGACCGAAGTGCTCGGTCTCAGGTTGACATGTCTGTTGGCTTCTTGTGCAGATGCTTCGACGATGTCTGGGCATTTAATTGGAATTTAAATTGTGGGTGGTGACTAGCAGTGGAATCTAGGATGCGCATTTCGTCCTATTTGGAACGGGAGAATCTCAAATTCAATGAAATTAATATGACCCGTTGCACAAGAGGTGCCCAGCTCTCGTGGCCCAAGTGGTCTAGTGGATAACGCTTTAGCGTTTGAAACTATGGGCACTGGGCTTCAGCCTCGGTGGGAACATCATCACTCACTGGGAAGTGCAGGTACATCCAGACGACGAGTCCCAAATGGGACGAAATGCGCTTTATCCTGGATTCCACTACTGCTAGTCACCATCTACAATTTAAACATTAATGTTTGATTGGTTACAGGATTTTATCATGAGCTCTGACATCGGTTAGAGAACCATTGGAAAACTAGCTGGGAGTACTGGACAGCTGTTTCATCCTTGTTTGGGACTTTTCAGCTGTACTCACTCACCGCCACGGTCCGTACCCAGGACCTTCTGGTTACAAGGTGAGCAGCTAGCTCGTAGACCATAAGCCACTGGAACCCAACCGATCCAATGGCCGCCAGTCCATGAATTCTAACCTATGCTAATTCACGCACGACATACCGCGACCACTTCGCAAGGTCTTCTTCGATGAGTGACTGCCTTCGACCTTCAACCTGCTGTACTCTACAATCAACGTTAATAACCCTAATTCTTTCATTATTAGTATGAATGCATATAAATAACTATGGAAGTTGATGAAGAGCAGGTTGTCGTGAGGAATATTCTCTGCTCAGTAGTAATCAATCTTTTGAAATTTCTAATGGGCAATTTTGATCGATTAAAGGATTATTTTGAAATCTAATTTCCTTTGAATAATATTTTCAACAGGTCGCATTGATATCATTATCATTATTATCACACGAGTTAACTATTTGACGGGGATGGACTACCCGAGTACTAGTTCCATAAAGAAACAACATATGAAAACATCCGAGAAAAAACCTGAGACTCTGACTGCACGTAAAAGAAACCTCTATTTGTTAAGTTACAATTTGATGGTGACTTATCAAGTGAGGT